CCCCTGTTGCAAGTTGTGGAGTTTCAGAAACATATCTTGGCGATAGTGGGGTGGGAGGTACTTTTTCTGTATTGCCTTTTTCATTTTCATCCACTTAGTTATCTTCTTATTGCCTTCTCTTTTCCTCTGCTTTTGTAGATTTTCATACCATAAGAAGGCATTTTCTTTAGCCTAATGACAACTAGCTTGACTCGTTCGTCCTCTGGTACATCTTTATATTCGAAAATCCGTTTAACTGATTGCAATTAGTCGATAAACTCATCGGGATCCATGCCTCCCTCAAATTATGGGAGGTTCATTTTGATGCCAAAGTCCCGCTGACCTCCATAGGAGTCTTTTGTGGGGGATCAACTCCTCTTGCTCTGGTGATGGTTGGGCATAGTTACTTAGAGTTTGGTCCACTGTGGAGGTGTGGAGAAATTTGTCCTTGTTTGAACTGAAATTGTTTGAACTGAAATTTTGAGTCAAAATTGGGCTCCACCGTGGGAACCAGAGGGAGAAAATGGTGGGCTTGAGCTGAGGAGGTCTTCTCTTGGTATCCTTTGATATTGGATACCAAAACAGTGTGTTTGATATTCCTCGTCACTTTGATCTTCCCCGTGGAATGGATTCATCTCCTCATCCATGCCTTCTATTTGACTTTCTCGATCACGGTCAAAAGAAACCTCTTCTTGGTTCTCGTCATCCAATTCTGCAAGTCTCCATTGTAGACGATGAATTTCTCGTTGAATCTCTTCCCCGGTCAAGTCCGGTGTACCTCTTCATGGTGGCGTGGCTAGGGTTGGAAATTGGAAGAAAAAATCCGGTGGAGGTGGCTTGGGTAGGGCGGATGCTAGGAAATCCTAGGATGGGACTAGGGTGGAACCTGACTTTGATACCAAATGATACCGAAACTAGTAGGACGAACAATGGAACTAAAAAAAATCAAACCTTTATTAATATAGAAATAAGGCTGCAACACGAATTCAAACAAAAAAAATACAATAATTGAGGAATCCCGAGTTAGAGATGTAGGAAGAGATTCAAAGGCAACGTCGACATTGGCGGATGAGTGGTTTTTTGCGTAGGTAGAAATTGTGTTTAGTTGGATGTATGTAGGTTGGACGGCGAGGTCCTGGAGGAAGTAGGGGTAGCAGTACTGTAGTGGAGGAATATGGGGGTGGTTGGCAGCTAGGGTGAGAGGTAGGAAAAGGTGTTGGGCAAAAGAAGTGAAGGAGATTGGGAGTTTATAACACCACCTCAGAGCAAGATACAACTAAAGCTCCACCTGTCTTTGGATACAACTCTAACAAAAGATAAGAGACTCCACACTGGAGATCAGAAGATCACTCTACTAGAACCGACTCCCTACACACAGAGGTCAACAATTTATAGACTTCCATTGAACAAAGGAAACTTCTACACAAAGAAAGAGGCGGGAGAGTAAAATGAATCCAGAAAAACCCAAAATTCCATAGTCGACATCTTCCTGGATCACGTAGGTTTGTGATCCCCCCCAGCCCTCACGCGGGTTCGCGATCCCGCTCGCTACAATGTTCTCGTGAAAGATTCGCCGGCCTTCTGTTCCGCGGAAACGAAGGGTCGAGGCGCATTCATTGCCTGCATCATCAATTCAACAATGTATCATCAATAGATGATCAGATAGGATGGATGAATCAAAATATTGGAAATCACCTGAGGATCTTTCCATCATATATTGGGATTCATATCAATTCAAAGAATAAGAAGAGGTCTCTCTGGAGCGATTGTACTTCAGTGTGGTCTAGCCTATCATAGATTTCATTATAGAGTTAAATTATTCTAATAAACTTTTTTATTGGATACATTCATCCGAGTATGAGAAGTGCAAGAACAAGATTACGAACATAAGGGCTCGAGAGTTACTTTGCGGGAATCTACAACTATATGCAGCTTCAGCTCAGGTTGTGTCAAAAGTGAATGTACACTTATTCTATTAGGATGTTCTTTGGAATGATAACACCTACTAAAGTAACTTACCGAGAAGTTACAATAACTCCATCATTTCAACGTGACCGACCCGACACAATATTGTGAGAAATCAAAAGCTTCGACGAATGAAAGGGAAGCCCCAGGAGGCTAATGAGGGGTCTGGATCCTGCGTTACGTGGAATTGTGGAAGAACCGCAATCACGGGTTACAGGCCGAACAATCTCATTTTTTCCTTTTTCTATACAAATTTTCTTTTTTTCTTCCTTAATTTTTTAGTCATTTCCTATATATGTGTTGTATTAGAGTTTGGATAATTCGTTTTTGTGCGAGTTTAGTTAGGATTGACGCCGACGTCTGTTTTTCCCGGCTATTTTCGAGTGTTTGAGTGGTGCTTTAATTTTATCTTTTTTCTAAGGTGGTGATTTTCTTCCCTATCCACCTTCTGCATTTTCCACACATGGCTCCTGACCACCGCTTCCCTGCTTCAGCCGCCCAAACAGCTACATACCGCTGTTTTCCGGCAGTTTTCTCACTTTTCCTCGGTGCTCCCGTCCTGGACGGCCACCCTTTCGCTGTCCTGCAGTCTTGCAGTCCACCACATACCCCTTCACTACCGCCACCTCCTCCCTTGCTGCCAGAGTCCGGAATCGCACTTCTCCTGCTGTTTAGCCACTGCCCTTGCTGCCACTGCCCATAACAGCCTGCCTTCTAGCTGTTCCGATTGTTTCATCCCTCCCCTTGTTGTCACAATTGTCCCCTTGCTACCACCATTGCCCCTTGTTGCCACCCTATCTTTTAGCCCATGTACCGCCCTTTCTATCTCTCTAGTGGTCCGAACCCTCGCCAATCACTACTACCACCCCAAGATCCACTCTAATTTGAGATGGTGTTGTCATTTATCGCTATTTCTTATTTCAACATATTGTTATCATGTTGATTGCTTTTTTCTATTTTCATTTGTGTGGTTGTAATCCCTTGTTTTGAATTCAACAATACTATTTCATTTTTCTAATGTTGTTTGGTTTAACTCCGGCATTACTAATATGCAAGGTAGAACTGTTAGTTTTAAACTTCAATTGTTTAGATGAATACCTAAAATAAAAAAAAAATCAATTCATCAAATAATAGAGACAGACATATTTCAATTACACTTATGCTTGTTCATATATTTAATACATACTATCAAATTTAAAAAAAAAAAATGAAAGTTATTCACAACTTAAGAAAATATTAAGAAAATATTCTTAGAAGTTCACATTATTAAACTTGACATCTTGTTTAATATGAGTTAGAATTTCTTTAAGCAATTGCTCGTGCATGCCGCTTGATTTGCCAATTAATAGAAAGTTTTGAATTTGTGGAAACCTTACCTTATCGGAAATGACAATTAAATTCTAGTGTAAAATTCTCATGTATTATATCTCATGGAAGGTATAGAACTCATGGAGATCTCTAGCCAATAAAATGAATGATAACTTTCAAGCAAGAGAGTCTATTCTTTTTCATTTTTTTTTCAGTTTTTCTTGTTTTAATCAATTTTTGTATACCAATTATGGGAATGGGAAGGGCATACACTACCTTCATGCTAAAATGTTTTATTTAGCTATTTTTTCATGGTTCAAGATTGGATTAAACCTAAAATTATAATTAAGTTCAGATTTTGATAATTTTCTTGAGAAAATTTAGAATAGGATTGGGAGTTTGTAAGAAATGAGGTATAAGAAAAAAAGAGGGAGCTCAAGATGGGGATAGATAGCGAGGAATTTACAAAATCAAGAAGGCTTTGTTGAGAGGAAGCACAAGAAAAATAAAAAGGAGTCTTTTCTCTTTGCTTCGAGGTAAGAAAGAAGCTTACTTGGTGGAGAGAAGTAGGGCATATAATAACGAATTATTGTAGGACGTCTAAAATTATAGGAAATTGCAGAAATAAATTTTGTAAAGTTGATTTTTATTGAATTACCAAATTAATAGGGTGTAGGAAATGAAATTGTAAATTTAATTGTATTTTAAGAGAAACATAAGAAGGAAAAGAAAAAACAAACAATATAGCCAATCCTCATATTTTAAATGTTGCATCCTGCACCTTAACGGCTTAATCCAAGAAGTAGTTTGTGTCAATTCCTTTTAAGTATAAACAAAATAATTATGGAGCTAAAATATGTGCTACATGAAGTTTCTTTTCAACTCATCATACTTAAGTTTTGAAAAACAGAAGGAGCTATTTATCAAATAATGTAAAAATTAAAAGTTTGAGGTATCCCCAAGGGTTTACCAATCATGAAAATAGTAAATAACAAATCTAATTAATGAAGCTCATAAATACAATCCGATGAATATTGATCATCATCCATTGTATGACAGATAACAAACTATATATATTTTTAAATACAAGGTTAGATCAATCTATTGTAATTAATCTCGTGCATATCTCCATCCATATCCCATTATTCTATTAAAATGAGTTTGCTCAAGTTCAAATTTGGTAAACAATATATCTTAAATTGTTGAAAAAACAGAGGAGCATACCTGTAATTTGGCATCTAAGTGCCGTTTAAGGCCAGTGAGTTGGTTGCGTTGCATGCAATCTGTGCATGTTTTGAACATTTCATATGCAGGCAGACAACTTTTCTTCTTGGTCATGTGCTTAAAATTTAGGCGAGGAGGCAGGAGTATCTTGCTGACTTTCCATGTCGAGCTTAAACAGCCGAAACTTATGGGATATGTAGTTGGAATGGAAATGATTTGAGGAGAATATCTTTAGGTTGGTGTAAATTTTCTTGTTTTTCTATTTTCAGGAAAAAAAAAAAACACCTCACCATCAATGTTGAGAATTAAAAAGATTTTGACAATGCTTCTATTATGATGTTGTTGCTTCCTTTTACTTGTTTATTTAGGAAACACAATTATTTTATTTTACCAAATGTTAAAATTACCAATTAATTTGATAATTTTACTTGTTTATTTAGGAAACACAATTATTTTCTTTTACCAAATGTTAAAATTACCAATTAATTTGATGCCATCGTTTTCTGCATTTCCTGCCATTTCAGCTAGCACAGAAAGAACTGCAGAAGATCAACATGTACAAGGCTCCTAGAGATAAACTTGTCTGTATCCTCAATTGTTGTAGAGTCATCAACAATTTACTGTTAAATGTTTCTATTGCTTCAAATGCAAATCCTCCCGGAGCAGATGAGTTTCTTCCAGTCCTCATATATGTTACTATAAAGGCATGCTCCCATTTGTACAATCTCTTTTTAATCAGAGCATTTGAGTTATTATTATTATTATTATTATTTTCCTGTAGTAACTTTTTGAGTGCCTAATTTGTAAAACTGCTACTGCATAACTTCGGCATTCTCAAGTATGTTACCCTTGCAGATTTCCCATTCCCTAATGTTGTAGCTAATATATGCTTAGTTTCATCTTGATAGCCATGTATATATTAATGCAAGTTTAGCTAGGCAAACTATCTATTCATACATCAAAAGTAAACCTAGCAACCTTATCCTAACGTGCTCATTATTTAGATAAGTTTTAGTTTATCATGCAGAGTACTTATTTTGACTTTAATGTTAATAAAAAATTTGTAAATGAAATCATTCTCTTTTTTTAGTAGAAATAAGCTTGAAATTAGAGGCATGGCTGATTATTCCATTTGGAAGGCTGCATGTCAATTATTACTCAAGCTTTAAGCTTTTGTTTAAAGATTTTATAACATCCATTGCAATTAGCTGATAGAATGGTGAAATGATGCCACTGTCACATAATTTTTACTGAATAAAAAAGATTTAGACCATACCGAATGGACATCATGGTGAACTATGAATCTAATAGTGAGAACCTCAACAATTTCCTTTTAGACTCTCGCCCACCTATGCCCTCTGAATGATTAACACTACTACGCACCTTAAGCTAGGTGCGTATCCAATATATTGCCGCCAGAAACTCCGGCCCCACTTATTCCATTAGTATTCGCGACCTTGCCCGACCCTAAACCCGAATTCTGAAAAAATTCCCGCCATGATAAAATTATTTCGCGCCAGCTTGCTATTCTATTCGTAGGGTGAAGAAATATTTCGCTTGTTTTTTCACAGCTCCGCCATAGCTAGGTATTGTTGGAATTCTCCATGAACGTTGAGATTCCGGAAGTCGATTTCTCCATGAACGTTGAGATGTCAGAAGTCTCCATGAACGTTGAGATGCCATCATTCAGCCTGAACCTTGAAGATCAAGATCAAGTGAGTCTTGGTGTTACTGTTGTGTTATTTTGGTGTTACTCTTGTATTACTCTTGTTTCTTGCCTTTGATTTAGTACCGTTTATGTGGTTTAGGGTTTAGTTTAATTTTCATGTAAACGTAGGTGTTGATGCAGTGTTATTGGGTGTTATTCTACAGTGTCGTTTGGTATTATTATGATTATTTTTTTTGTGTTATTATGGTTTTAGGCTTCTCGTTTTTTGGTGTTATCCTTGTGTTATTCTGGTGTTACTGTGGTATTACTCCATTGTTATGTTGTTTATTGCATTTGATTTTTGGGTGTAGTTCATTGCGGCATTGTTATTTATGATTTTTTTTTGCTTCTTGTTTTTTGGTGTTACTCTTGCGTTATTCTGGTGTTACTCTGGTATTATTCTGCCCTTGATTTATTACTCATATTGTGTTATTATTGTGTTATGCTCATGTTATCATTGTTTTATGCAGTCCTCTGAGGCAACACGTTTGCAATGATCCAATTGCAGAGAAGTTTCTAAGCAGCATTATCCACAATGAGGAAGAAGCATATGAAAGCTATCGTGCCTATGCACATCACGTGGGATTCACTGTTCGGAAGGACCATACTACCTACTGGCCGAACTCCAAGAAACTCAAGGTTAAAGATTATATTTGTGGAAAAGCTGGCTATAAGAAAGAGCCTAACAACACAGTTAAATTCAGAAAAGCAGACACGAGCACTGGCTGTAAGGCCATAGTACGATTTCATGTTGATTTCGAAGGCAATTGGACAGTGGCAAAATTCATTGAAAATCATAATCATCCTTTGGCCGAAAGTAGTGATAAACTTCTTCTTCGTTCCAACAGAATGATAAGTGAGCTCAATGCAGATGTGTTGAGATTCATGATAGGTTCAGGGATCAGAGCAACACATCCATACAATTTCATTGCCACAGAGGTTGGTGGTGTGGAGAATTTGGAATGCACCAA